TCGGGAAGGAGGTCTTGAGCAACGGGCTTTGGGTGACCCATCTCAGCAGTTTTGACAAGTCTTCGCTGACGTTTTCGTTCTTGTATTGGGACCAAGTATGGGGCCGAAGTAGATGGTTGATTGGTTGGGTCAGATGTTGACTCTTGATCTGTTCGTGATGTAGAGGCGGTTTGAGTTGTGGCAGTAGGAGGAGAAAGGCTTTTCTTCTTTCTTTTGGGGACGTCGGGCAAAGTCGATTTGTATGTGGGGGATAAAATTGAGAAGAAGAGGTGCTTTTCTTTTGTAAACTGGCAAGTCCAGGAGTTTTTTCAGGTCCTTACTAGGAACGTAAGATTGACGGAAGTTTTTCGTTGGCCTGCGAACATCTGCAAGAAGAAACAGATATTAGAAACAAATAAAATATTGAAGACTTGAACAGAAACAACTAAGTATTGACACTGGGCTCTTACCCTTGCCCTCTTTAACTGATTGGGGAAGAGGGTAGAGATAGGCGTCCTTGTCTGCGCCAAACTCCCAATTTCCCGAAGCAATTACATAATCATCTCCAGCCCCCTTGTTGGAGTCTGGGAGGTCGGCTACGATTTTGTATTCTATAGACCTCGGCTTAAGATATTAAATGAAGCCTTTTTCCTTCAGATTAAGGGCGCACATGGTATAACAGTATTGGATGTCGGCAAGGGTGATCCTAATGTTCTCTTGCTTAGCTAAGGCGATAATACCAAAAATCACTCGATAAGAGTTGATTGCCAGTTGCATGGGGTTCAACTTATAATAATGAAGGATCTCGCGAAAAAGAATGTTGAGTGGGAGCCAGAGTCCGCACTCAGTAAAAGTTACAATGGGAAGGGGCATAGCGTTTTCTGTAGGCATGATAGAGTCATCATCCCCAGCAAGTCTCAGGTGGACATCGGCAGGGATGGAGAACTCCTGCCTAAAGTACTCAAGTTTGGTCGGGGTATCTACCCTGTGCCTCCACATACCCATAATGTCGGCCTAAAATCAGAGGGCTAGGTTTCAGAAAGAAGATGCTCTTAAGGGGTTATCGGGACCTCGGCGAAACCCTAGGTATATGCTTGTAAGGATTGTTTCAATTTTTTCCTAAGAATTGATAGGTTCTATAGACAAATCCCAAACCTAAATCTATGAAGACAAAGATTGAAAGCAAAAATTGAAGGCAGAGATCTGGAAAACAACACAGGAAACAAGAAACCAGAACGCAATTTCAAAATGAAGAACAGAAGTGGGGTTCTCAAAAGCATAAAGAAAACAAGAACTACAGGACCAGGAACAATGGCAAAAATGCAAGAAGTAGTGAACAATAAATATGATTCACGGAATTAACAGTTTAAACAGGACAGTAATGGCAGTAAGAAGATAGAAGAACATCAGTAAACTGAATACATAAAGAATAGTGGTTTACCAGAGAAATTGAAGCCGGAATGAAGTTCGCCGAAGACAGACGACGGTTACAGAAGCGACAAAGTAACGAGAGCCTCACCAGAGAGACGAATGAAGTTGCAGAGCCTGGAGCTTGAACAATGGCGGATTCGAGAGACAGAGCTTAGAGAGAGAAAAAAACAAGAGAACTCAGATGCAAATGTGAAGAGACGAAAGAAAGAGGGAAAGATTTTGTCAAAAAATGAAAACGGCGGCAAAAAGGTAATCAATACGCCTAAAAAAACGCATACGTCAGACGGCGCATATGAAGAATAGATGACTTATGGGCGCGTCTGTAATGACCCCAAAACATGTGTCATATTTATCAGTAATTAATTATGTGTTTATGCGAATTAGTTGAAGAATATCTGTTTGAATTAGAAGAATATCTGTTGAAATGAGAATTTTGGGACTGAAATTGATGACCGTAATGGGTTCAGAAAACGAAATTGAGCACGCCTATGTGATATCGGGAATTTTTAGAGCCATTTGGGACAATAAATTGAAGACTGAATTTCGTCTGATTCGTTAAGCCTTGTTTGGCTCAAGATTATGGCACAATTCTATTTTTTATGACATATATGTACATATAGATAAGGATGTTGACTCTTTGACTCAACAATAAGAAAAGAAAAATCTAGAAAGAGAGAGAGAGAGAGAGAGAGAGAGAGAGAGAGAGAGAAGGATTCGGGAGAAGGGAGAAAGAAGGGGGAAAAAGAGAATCAAGCTACATCTTCTCCAATTAAGTGCTTAAGGTAAGAATTTCTTCTCTAATTTCTTGAAATAAGGTTGATTCATGCATGACCTCATGGTAAATAAGTGGATTGAAGAGGAAATATGTTTAATTTGAGCATGTATGGCATAAATTGATGATTCATGTTTATATTTGGCATTCTTGAGGAAGAACCTCCATGGATATGAAGAAATAAAGCTTTTACATGAATAGTTATGATTCTTCACCTCAATTCATGGTTTGATCTTGTACATGATGCATGTGGGTTTTGTTGAGAAGTTGTAAGGTCTAAATCAAGTGGTTTTCAAGTGTTTTGGGACTTGGGTTTCATCACCTTGAAGTTGTTTTGGCAAAGGAGAAATTGAAGCTTGAGAAGAGTCCAGAATTTCAGATTTTCGCGTGGTCCGCTCGAGCGGAGGGATTCCCGCTCGAGCGTGAAAATCGGCCTCCCAGCAGTTTTGGAATTGTGCAGTCCGCTCGAGCGGACAAAGGGGCGCTCGAGCGGGGGACTTATTTCAGGAAATTTTGAGAAGTTAAATTACATGATTTTCACATGTCATTTGCATCATTTAGCATCTCTTAATCATGAAATAGAGTAAAGAAAGGATAGAATGGCATGAATTAAGTGAGTTAATGATAATGTGTATTGAAGAAATGTGTTATATGTTGATAATTGCAGGTCAGGAGGCGAAGACCGTGCAACCGGTTTTGGAAACCCACTGTGAGTAACATTTCTGTAAAGATATGTTAGTATGATCTATGTTTAAAAATGCTACGTTATGCTATGGTTTTGAAATGATAAATGTTTTCTGTGAACGAATGTCCGATTTGCGAATCTAGTATGGCATCCATAGATAGTCCTAAGTGGACCAGTTTACGAGATCTCGGTATGTGTTTAATCGGTGCCCGGGACCGGTTACTCTAGTCGTTGGACGACAAATGTTATGTTCTATGGAGTATGCCATTATGTATGTTCTGATATGAGATGATTATGTTTATGAATGATTTATTTTACAGATATATGAAATGTGGAATTCGTTCACTACCCCTTTACTTTAATGTTACTTGCTGAGCTTTAGCTCATTGTTTGTATATATGTATTTATAGGTGAGCACTCTGGGAATCAAGCCTAGGCGGAGTCCGAGTCGAGCCGCCGTTTTGAAGCCTACCCGGTGTTTTGGAGCCTTCGAGTTGGGGCTAGACCTAGAAGGCCGTTAGGAAGCTTGGTTTTGGGTTGTACATGTGGCGTGAGCCTATGTTTTGTACATGAATTTTGATTATAGGTGATGTAATGTAGTGGGTAAATTAACATTTTTGGCATGTTATGTATGTTCATATAAATCCACAGCTCTTTGGACTATTAGTGTTTTGTTTTCGCTTCCGCAAGCCCCGGTTATGTATGTTTTGTACAGAAAGGCCTGTGATAATCTAGGATTACTGGCCGGTTACGATGCCAACCTTCTCGGGGCGGGTTTGGGTCGTGACAGCGTCACAGGCACGAGCCAATAAGAAAGAAACGTGTGTCTAAAACGGTTGAATTGAAGTGCATGACAGCTCATGCGCGTGAGAAGTTCCTTAAAAATCTTGATTTTTTAGGGAAAGCATGTTGGCCATAAATGGATGATCTCGGCTATCAAACTTTAAACTGATTTACTTGAAGAAAAATACAGATATAGGTTCCATCACCTCAGAATGCCGAGGTAATAGAACCTAGGGGGCAGTTGTAAGGATGTATTGATGTATTTTCTGAATACCAACACGTGGCATGGTGACGCCGACGTGTCAGCCGAAGTGCCACGTGTTCTGGTTGTGACGCTGAGGTTATCTCGGCGAGGCCGAGGTTATCTCCGAAGATATCGGAATCCGAGATAATCGAATAGTAGATAAGGAGGGCAAGAGTCCTAGAGTAAAGAGAAAACTTTGCTAAGATAAGGATAAAGCTCTTAGGGAGTTTATCTTTATCTCTTGAGAAGTCCAAAGTAAGCACTGAATGGGAATCCATAGAAGTCAAGCTTCTAGTGGGACTAGGATTGAGTTGGCTATAAAAGAGAGGCACCCCCGTGGGTCTAAGGTACACAGTTTTATGCTTTGAGTAGTGAGTTTAGCACTTGATTATCTTTGAGAGATATACTGACTTGATCGTCGGAGTGCCCCCGGGTGGAAGAGCCACCGCCGGAGCCTTTTCTTTTTGTTATAGGTTTGCTGAAGCCATCTATTCTGCTGGTGCTCTCCAGCTGATTACTGGGCGGGCAGTGTGGTCAGAAAATTACCCACACATAATCTAATTTCATAAATAACACAACCCGAATCAGGGGATTTGCCGGTCTTTTTTTGAAACAGCCTATGTCATCTGTCAATATTAAAAATGTCATACAGTTTTTTTTAATTATCAAATAAAGGGAAGTCGTATTTTGTGAATCCATACAGCTCATGACTCATTAATAAGTCAGGATCATTAACTGATACTAATCTTATAGACAATACTAACAGAATATAAAAGAAAATAACTGTCTTCTCTTTTTCTTTTTCTTTTTTTTGTCTACTTTGTTCTGCTCTATGCAGTTGATCGGCTCTATGCAGTCTTGGAGACTCAACAAAGCACGAAAGCTAGAATCCTTCTGAAAATGTTTTCCTATTCGAACAATGCATAACTGTATGACTAGCTCACACTAACCGGTCAATTTGAAATCCAACATGAAATTTTCCTTTGGAGGTATTGGGACGGTTGGTTTGTAATAATATCGATTCATACAAAAGAGAAAAGGTTCACATGCCTCTGATTAATACATTCAAGTTCTCTTTTATTTTATATAGTATGATGGTCCAAAGGTGAAACAGTTTGTTGTTGCTTCATTATAATTCAAACTGCACTATTCCAGCAGATGGAAAAAACGAAAGGGAAAAAAAGATTGAAAGAATTATTTCAAAAAATCAGCATGTCCTCACAAGAATCCTTACACTTTTGTGCCAAAACAACCCCTTGAAAAATCTGTATTTACAGTGTGATTTACAATTCTACTTGCCAAATGTTTGGGAGTTCCTCCATTCAATCCTTTTCCTTCTTCTTGTTGGATATCTCGTTTGTAAGCATTTCTCTTTGTTTCCCGGGCCTCTAGTGAGTTAGAGACAGAACTCATAAAGGTCAAATCTTTGGCGATTCCATCATCTAAAATTCTACTAGCCTATGCCTTTCTGGGTGAGTTCAACCCATTTTTTATATTTTGGTTTAGAGCGGTTTCCGAGTAAACGCTTTGTGACTTCGGTGACTTTGTCCGGTGGTGCCTGTGACCATGGTGTCGGTTTCCGTAATTTTGGTTTCCATTCTCTCTCTTCAACTCCTTCGGCGGCGAATCGCATTCCTTCACACTTTCCTTATTCGAATCACTCTCACCAGGAGCTGTGTACACAAATGTTACCATTGGAATATCAACATAATCCTTTAGAGTCTCCAAGGTCTTGACCACAGAGCTCATTGTGGGCCTAAGTTTGGGCCTGTGGCTCAGGCATTCATAGGCCAATTGGGCTGCCTTTTGGGCCCCCGTCTCAGAATACTGGCCCTCAAGTCTCGGGTCCATTATTCGGCCAAGCTTTCTTGGGCACTTCAATTGAGGCCTTGCCCACTCTGCTAGGCTCTGTTCTCTGTGAGGCCGGGTTTTGTCAACCGATCTCCGACCCGTTAGAAGCTCCAAAAGCACTACTCCAAAGCTGTACACATCACTTGCTGCTGTTAAATGGCCTGCAAAGAATTTTTAATTTGGTAAATGACTTTGTCAAAATCTCTGTCTAGTTGAATATTAACTATTTTTTCTTGCAAAACAAACAACCGATTTCAGGCCCAACCCAATATACGAAGACAAGTCAATCTTATTAGAAAATATTTTCTATAGAAAACGTTTTTGTGTTTTATAGAAACAAATGGAGCGTTCAATTGAATATTGACAATGGAACTGGATAGAGAAAATTACCGGTCATGATGTATTCAGGAGCAGCATAGCCATGTGTGCCCATGACTCGAGTTGAAACATGCGTGTCATCTCCCTCTGGACCGTCCTTTGCAAGCCCAAAATCTGAGAGTTTTGCAGTGTAATCCTGGTATCAGCAAGAACAAAAATAAATTCAATAATTACAACAACAACAACAACAAAAAAAAAAAGGGAGAGGAAAGTGATACATATATATGGAGCCTAATTAGTTAAAGAAGCTTACAGAGTCTAGCAAGATGTTTGAAGCTTTGAAATCTCTATATATGACTGGTTTTTCGGCCTCGTGGAGGAAGGCAAGTCCCTTGGCAGCTCCAAGAGCTATTTTCATTCTTGTCGACCATGGAAGTGATACCGAGTACCCTGCACACCAAGAGAGAAAACCGTTAAATTTGTTTAGCAAATTATTTTTGAGGAGTGTTCTATGAAATTTTTTCTAAAAAAGCTGACACACTTAAAATAAAAATAAAAAGTTGTTCCCAAAATGGAAATACTATTTTAACTAAAATCATTAAGGGAAATTTTTTTTAAAGTCGCTAATATTAAGATTGTATAAAATAAAAGAACATATAATATTTTTATAATAGTTAAGGTCTCTCAATATTTTTACAAAGAAAATATAACTCAGAGAAATTTCTCTGAGTCGAGACGAAATTTCTCTGAATCAGGTGAAATTTTTCTAAATCAAGCAAAATTTTTCTAAGTCGAATTTTCTCTGTAAAAATATTAAGGGACCTTAGCTAATTAAAAAAATAAAAAATAAAAAACATGTTGGACCTCTATTACCACACAAAGTTAAAAAGAGGAATGTTTCATTAATTTTCCCAATCATTAAATGTGAATCCAATAAGTCTAAGAAATATGTGTATATGTGTTTGGTGTAACAGAACGGTTGCTTCTGAAAGCAAAATAGGGAAACTTGGTCAACTTCATCCAATCCTTTTATTTATTTATTTGTTTTGTGTCCATACATGATCCACAAATAACATATTAAAAATAAAAACACTCAAAACAATATCAAACTAAGTCTAAATTCACACTGTATATTCAATTTTTAAATTTTTTAAAATATTTTTCTATAATACATAGTATTCTCTTACAATTAAACTATATTGATAAATGATGTCATGGTAATGCTCTGATACTTCAGCACTAGCGTGACCATTGCCAAGTCTTATATATAGCTAAATGAACTAACCCTTACATTAAAGAAAAACAATATTGGCAACTGGTACAAGTCATGACATATCACCTTAAAGGTAAAATTGGGTACACATGTCCAATAAAAATAATCAAGTGAGGTTAAAAGAAAAATCACAAAGTCAACTATGTCAAAAAACAATTTCTGACTTTTTCCAATTTTGTTGTCATATCTCAACTAATCCTAAGCTAATTATAAATTATCCACTTGTAATATCTTATATTTAGAAATTACCCAAATTCCACCGGAAGTTAGTGTGACATCAGGGGAAATATTCAAATATAAAATGCGTGAATATTTTAAATTTTAGTACATAACATTTATGTTATTAAAGTGTTACAAAAATGAAATAGAGAGCATACTTCTAAATAGTTGATTTTCCAAGCTGCCTCGAGGCATATATTCATATGCAAGTAATCTATGTTCTTCCTCACAACAGTATCCAATTAGCTTCACTAGATGTGGATGTCTCAGTTGCCCAAGAAAGATCACTTCTGTCTGTTAAAAACAGAAAAAAAATACAAGCAATAACTAATCAGATAATGAAATTTGATTCTTCATTTGTCACTCAAAAAAATTGATAGTGTTTGATACAACAAAACTGTCATAAAATTGATAGTGTTTGATAGTGTACGATTTACCTTATCAATTATTATTGATTATCACTTAAGCAATCCAACTTTAAATTAAACTGTCCAATTTTAAAGTTGTATGATTAAACTCTCTCAACTTTAAAATTATACACTTAGACCCTCAACTATCAAAATTGTTTTACTTTCCACCAGAATTTGATAGAAAAATTGTCATAAAAACAAAGGTTAATTATGTTTTACCCCCTCAACTATTATTGAATATTACTTAAAACCCTCTCAACTTTAAAATAATTTATTTAGACATCTCAACTATCAAAATTATACATTCACCCAAAATTGCATTCATCTCCCCAGAAAGGATCTTTGTATGTTTTTTTTTTTTTTATAATTAAAGAGTCTAAATGTATAATTTTAAAATTGGAGGGAGTAATGTGATATTCAATAAAAGGTACGATAACTTTAATTAACCCTACTTAAAATGCTCACATAAAACTTACATCATTGCAATGAGTATCATAGTAAATTAACCAACATAAATAAATAAATAAATAAATATTCAAACTTATGCTACATATTCAAATTCTAAATAATTTTAATAAAAAATAATAATTTTTAAGTACGTAACATTTTTATTAACAAAATGTACATACCAGCCATTCCCTGTGACCTTGAGTGCCATCTAAATCCAGGAGCTTAACAGCCACAGGCTGAGCCTTCAAACCAGGCCTGAGCTTATCATCAATGAACCCTTTATGAACCGGTCCAAACCCGCCTTCGCCGAGAAAATTACTCTGAGAGAAGTTCTGGGTGATCACTCTCAGCTCCGCAACCGTAAAAACATAGAGGTTTGATCCAGCAAGTGACACCGACAAGTCCTCAGACAACGTGGACGAGCTCAAATCCGTCATAGAAATCCTCTGAAACGAACTCTGCTTCGAAACAATAGCTTTCTTGGTTGGTTTTGGTGATGGGTTCTCAGTCATGTAACAGCTTAAGATGAGAGATCTCCATGTTATCCTTTTGACAGTCATTGCTAGAGGTAGTGGTGATGTGAGGAGGGTTGAAGGGTTTTTAGATGTTGAGAGAATGAGTCATGAGGAGGGAGGTGAAGATGAGGAATGGGTTGGAGTTGGAGGGGTTTTTAAATGAAGGGGAGAGAGAGAGAGAGAGAGAGAGAGAGAGATTAGGACATAATACTATTCAAATCTAATGGTTCAGTGTTTTCTCCTCCGACAATAGAGGTTTCCAACTCCTTTCTTTGATGTTTTCCACATAGGACGGCTCGCTATTGTGCTATATATTATTTTTGAAAATTTTTAATACGTATCTTTGAAATGAGTATATTATATATAATTTTAGTTATATTATTTTTATCTTTAGGTATGATTAATTTTTTTTTTTTTAGTTATAAGTCATGGATTCTTTAATTATGTCTCATATTATATTTAGTTATGACATTTTTTTTAATTATGATTCAAAAAGTATAAAATTATATCATTTTCCTTTTTATTTATAAGGTGCAAGTTTCCATATTACTTTTCCTTTTTCTTTCTTTGTATAGTTTTATTCCACTGGATTATTTAGCAGGTTATGATTTAATTTTATTAATGGCTTAATAATTATTTTTAAATAAAAACATTAATCATGAGTATTTATATAAATGGTGATACAAAATGATAAGGGAAAAAAAATCAATGATATATCAAAATTTCCAATTTTTTTTTTCATCTTAATGAAGCATTAAATCATTAGATTATTGATTTGAGATTTATGTACTTGATATTTTCACCAATCTTGCTATGGAATCAAAAAAAAAAATTTTATCGGTAAAAGTCAATGATTAATGGTTAGATTAGCACTTTGAGAGAGTTGAAACTCACACTCATATATCTTGCAAGAAAATCTTGTCTTCTCATTCCACTCCTATGAGTGGAACCTAAAACCTCCCTCCTAGGAGAAACTTGGTGGCCAAAGGACTAACCAACTAGGTTAGAACCCCTTGGTTGTCACAGAATCAATTTTGCGAAAAGGAAATGGATATTCTATGTGTTGGAGCATGTATGAAGGTAAAGTCTCACATCAAATAAAGAGTGAAAAGATATGAGTTTTAATATACATTAGATGGGCCTCCACTATAGGCTTAAGCTTTTAAGTGGGTATAGTTCCAAATAATGTATGTTGGGTCTTAATATAGCGTTTGTGGACTCTTGAGTTTCTCCTTAATGGATTGAGCCGGTATTGATGTGCGCTTATGGGCTCCCTAATTCCCTAACAATTGGTATCAGAGCCGATGGCAGACGATTTATGGGCGGACTCTTCTAGAGAATTGATGTTGGTGGGCTTGGGCTTGCACAAAAACTCTTGATGGAGCAAAAAAAAATCCATAATCCTAATGAAACAAAGAAAATTCCTGGTGCACGTGGCAAGGTTGGACCGCAACAAGGTGGCTCTCAATGTAGTATGGTGGCTCATGATGGAGTGTGTGCAGATGGCCCAAGCTAGTCTCGATGTTAGAGAGTTATAAATCAAGATTAAAGGGTAATGATCTACAATGAACTTGCTGATGATAGATCAAGACTCGAGGGGGAATATGAAGAGGCCCAATGTTTGGTTCACACATAAGAGAGAGATTGTTGGAGTATATGTGAATGTAGAGTCCCACATCGGATAAAGAGTAAAAAGATATGAGTCTTAATATACATTAGATAGGCTCTCTACTTATAGACTTAAGTTTTTAAGTGGATATGAGTTCGAAATAATGTATGTTGGGCCTTGATATGACGTTTATGAACTCTAGAGTTTCTTCCTAATGGATTGGACCGATATTAATGTATGCTTATGGGCTCCCTAATTCCCTAGCACTATGTACTTTAATTTGTTCATCTATTTTTTGATATTTGATATAATTGATTTTTACATAAATAACTTTCAGTTCAAGGTTTACGAGATAAATAATTCAAATTATCACTATGGATTGAAAGTGTGACTTACAAAGTGAAATATAGAGGATTATAGTGGATAATGGTGTGGAGATGAGTTATCCCTATAACAGTGAGGCTTGTCTCATATGATTATGCGAGTCTCATTCTTATTGTAATTAAATAATAGAAAATTGTGTGTTTATAATCTTATTTAATTTTTATATAATTTAATGATTAAAAATATAGAGGGATTTTGGATTATAAAAATAATATGCTCTATATAACATGCTTTCTTCCATGGCTCCACCTCCATTTTATACATGTAAATGCAAGGTAATTAATAAGTAGACTCGAAGTACTCATGTAGCATTATTTATGGAATCTTCCTATATGACATGACCAAAAAAAAATTATGAGTGGAATGGTGTTAACCCACCTTTAATAAGTAGTTGTGAGATAAGAAAAGATTTACCCAATATATTTTATAACTTTTCATTTTTTAAGAGTATCACATATTACACATAATTTTCTAAGACTACATAAAAATTGGGTGCTCGGGCCAAAAGTCCAAAATAACATTTTCCTTGGTCAATGATCTAGGCACATAAATAGTTTGTTCATAAGCACAAACAGAAACAAACTAACTAAAATACCCATATATATATATATATATATAACAATCAAACCCTACATCTCTCCCATTAACCATCTGTCACTTTCTCTCTATTCTCTCTCATCTCTCTCTCTCTCTCTCTCTCTCTCTCTCTCTCTCTCTCTCTCTTCGCGATCTAAACCCTAGGTGCGTCAACCTCCACCGCTGACACCATTCTCTCCCCCTTTCTCTCTTGATCCGATCAAAGAGGTCCTCCCACCACTGGCTTTAAATCAAGCAACAATCGCCGCCACCGAAACCCTACATTCGTCGTGCTCCTCTCCACTTCTCTATTCGGCGCATGGTTGCCATGTCTCACATCAAGGTCATGTGTTATTTGTATGTAGGTCTCGACGGTGAAGGAGACACTAGTCTCGATGATGATAGCAGTTGAATTGTCAATAGAAAATAGGCGACGGATAGAAATGGAGCTTGATCGTTTTCTCTCTCTAGATCTGAGCGATCCATACCAATCCACTGACGTCGTCTCTAGATCCGATCCATGGTCGTTGCTATTGTCTCTAGATCTGTGATCTTTTTGGAATTTGGATCTAAAGTTTATATATATATGCATTAATATATATGTATATATCCTTTTATATATATATATATATATTGATCAACAAAAGAAGAAAAATTTATTGATGAAATTGAACATACGTTACATATAGAAACCATCAATAAAGAAAAGACGATAGATAAATAGCATCATAGCACCCCAACCTAATCCCAACTAGGTTGGCACCAAGAGAGATACGCAATCATGTGCTAGCTCAAGCCAAAAAGTTGGTGAGAAACCAACCATAAACAAAAGAAAACACCCCAGATAGAGGAGTAACCAAACAATCAAACTTGAAAATTCTAGAAATCTCCTAGATGTTGATTTGTGATTATGTATCAATTTTAAGCAGTATATAACAATCCCAATCAAACAATCAAGACAAATCGACACAACGATTTTACGTGGAAAAACCACAATTGGACACCTCCAATTATGATAAAAAAAAACCGCGGGCAACAGCCACAAAACAATCCACTAAGAAGATATAAAGGAATTACACAGGTATACTCTCAATTACCTAGCGAATCCACGGTCGAATTGAACCAACCTCTATGTGCCTCTTCCAACCCCGTCTTCACCTCGGAATTGTCTTGACGATAAGCCACTCCAGAATCCACCAAAGCTTCAGGCTCGAATTCTTCAGAATCCACCGAAGAACAACTCCCTCTTTTGTGTGGAACAAACAAATAATCCTTTGATATATACTCTTTAAACCATGAGTTGAATACTCAATCAAACATCAAAAAAAACTAACAAAATATCCCTAGATATAAACCCTAGAACCCAAGAAAAAGATCTGGAGAAATAATCCTAAAATTTGACAGAAACCCGTACTTACAAAAATCTGGGAATGCGAAGCTCGCTCGAGCGAGGAACCAAAAACGTGTGTCTTCCATAAGTGGCTTCGCTCGAGCCAAACAACCTATGCTCGAGCGTAAAATCATCTCTTTCAGGTTTTTACACACACGCAGCCTTCGCTCGAGCGAGCAAGGGCGGATATGCAACTTTGAATGCAATTTTGCATTTTGCTTCGGGGGCGCTGCCCCTCGATCCAGCCGTGGCACTGCCCCGGACCCGCCAAAGGGCGCTGTCCCCTGGACCCCCGCGAGTTGACCAGGCAGCTCGATCGTCGTCATAATTAGCGAAGTGGCAATCTTAAAAACATTAACATCACAAACTTCTCTGCAATGCACAATTCGGGTTGGATTCGCATCTAAACACTCATAGCCTCACTGAAATAAAAAAGTGCGAAAACAAATACAACTTAAAGGAGTTTTGTCAAACGGGGTTGCCAAGAATGAAAACCTAACAAAACTAACCCCACCTGAAAAATCTTCCAAACAGCAGTCACCTAACCTACAAACAATAATCTCAACAACCAAAGTAGCCCAGAATTCTGATTTTATTCTGTTACCTTGAACAGGATCTAACTTGTTGAAGGTTGAACACCACATCATTAATAGAATAATGTACCCCAAACGTGTTATATTTCAACCATAAAGAAATTCTAACCTTTAGTAACTCCCCAAAAGCCGTAAAATCTTATTGAATCTCGTTGAACAAACATTCATTTCAGAGCTTCCACACAGACCACATGAGAGCAAAAGGAATAGAATGCCATGTCCTTCTTTCAAACCTGCTGCAACTTGTACCTAACCACCATTCCAGAAGACATCCAATAGATCCAAGGATTACCCAAGACAAGTTCCACCAATCCAATAATTCAAACCACATTCTCCATACCAAAGGGCAATGTAGCAGAATGTGATTGGTAGTTTCTACATTCTCCCTGCGAAACAGACAATAATTGTTTACATTGGGATCCAAAACTCCAATTCTTTGAAGATAGAAAGTCGTTTTCACTCTACCTCTCTATTACCCCATAACAGTTTAGTAATCCTAAGAGATGGACCTTGAGCAGACTCACACCATCTTCTGGCAGAAGAAACAGAGAAAAAGCCCGATGGGTCTGCATTCCACCAAGCTTGATCATC